GATTCCCCTGCAAAAATTCCCATCGGTATTTTTACAATTTCTTATTATGGAAAATTTTATAGATAAAGCAAAGTAGACAGCCTAGAACAATGAACCGCAGTCATTCAGATTACACAGTTATCAACCCAAGGTCAGCTTTGTCCCACCCTCACTCACTTCCAGCCCTCCAGGACTGTTCAGGAGCAAGTCCTGGCATCGTATCATTTCAGTTGTAAATATTTCAATATGTCACTCTAAAACACAAGGACTCTTAAACATGACATACCCATAGTCCCACTTTTGTACCTAAAAATTAATAAAATTTTGTAATTTCTAATATAGTCAACATATTATATGAGTCAGTAACTCGAACCAAATCAGTTTTTGAAGAAAGCCAATTTGCACCATAAGGAGGACAGTGTGTCCTGCTTCCTGTCTACAGAAGGAGGGGTGAGAGGTAAAACGAGGGCAGAGATGGGCAAAGGGGACTGTGACCGCAGGCTGGAGCAGGATTAAACAACCATAAAAGGACCTTTTAATCCATCAGTACTGGAGGGCCTCATGGAACTGCAGCTCAGGAAGGCAGCCGGGCCTGAGAAGGGGACTGACCTGGGAATGGAGCGCAGTCACTCCAGGGGTACCCTCTCCATTGCACGCTCTGCCCTCGCACCCCGGTTTCAAGGCGATTTATTCCCGTGACTAGAGAAAAGTCATGCTAAAGTCTCTGCATTTTTTCTACTTCTCCGTATGAGAAACTAGCCCATGCCAGGATGGGAAGATCTTAGTATAATTGCACGTTTCCAGGAAAGGGGGCTCTGGTGGGGCCAGATTGGGTTAAATGTCCACTCTCAGTCCAGTGACTGAGGGGGTGGGCCCCATGTTGTAGACACGGCTGCCAATGGCTTACCCATGGGGTCTGGTGGGTGGGCAGGACCCCCCAGAGAAAGCCAAGGGCCACTGCTCACCCACTGGGTTGTTGCCAAGGTGAGTGGAAAGGAGAAGCATCTCTAGAGCTAGGGAATCAGCAGTGGACTGCCTTATGCCTTATGGTTTCACACGCAGGAGGACACTTCCGTCCCCCCACGTGACAATGGAATGGATGCCCTCGCTAGGGAAAGCGTTCTGTACTGAGCTGGGCTGTCAATTCAACCAACTCGGTGCTTCCCTCTCCACACCCCCTTCCCCGAGCAGAGCTTTAGAACAAAGAATCCCCTGCAGGCTCCTCTCCGGGATCCCAAAGTGAGAAGCACCCGCCAGGCCAGGGAGCAGAGGCTTCCCCTTCCTCCAGGTCAGTCTTGTCTCCCGGCGGGTGGGGTGTGCAAGAGGAGACCCTTGAAAAACTGCGTGTCTCCAGTGTGCCACAGGTGGGCTCCTCTACATGAAAGCCAGGCTAAGGGGCAGGCGCGGGTGAAGGCCGAGGGTGAGATGCGGGTATGGAAAAAGTCAGGGGTTTAGAAGGAATTTAAACAATTTTGCTGAGGTGCCTAAAACAAGGCCTAGCGGACTAGGTATCTTCCCTGGTGCGCCTTTCTCTTCCTTTCCTTCCTTCCTTCCTTCCTTCCTTCCTTCCTTCCTTCCTTCCTTCCTTCCTTCCTTCCTTCCCTTTCCTTCTCTCTCTCTCTCATTCTCAACAAACAACCCCACCCCCCCACTTCTTTATCCAGAGTCCCAGAAACCCTGTTTTGAGGACGGTTAATATACCAATCACCTGGGTGGCTCCTGAAAGATTCAGGTTCTGGCCCTTGTTCCCAGAGATTCAGTTCTGCAGCCTCGAAGCCTGGCCTGGGAACCTGCTTTTTTAACAAGTCAGGAGATTTTGATGCACACCCAAGTTTGAGAACCACTTCAACAGAAACAGTAGTCAAGTTGACCCCTGAATGTTCTGTTCATTCTTTCGCCTTTGAGCAAGATGAATTTTCCTAATATAATTTCCCCACATTTCTGTGGTGATGGAGCTGTGTGTAGCCAACATACCACAGTTGTTAGTGAAGGCATTTAAGTCTACACCCTAAATACCCTTCCTCCTGCCCCGGGAACTGCTCCAAACAGCTGCCTGGTTCAAGAAAAGCTCACGAAGCTCTCCTGGGCTCCCAGGCACACCACCATCTCTCCAAATTAGGGAAGCAGCTTGTTTCCCTCAATATAATGAACTAATATTCTTTTCTTTTCTTTTTTTTAAATATATCTTTATTGATTCAGAGAGAGGAATGGAGAGAGAGAAAGAGAGAGAAACATCAATGATGAGTCAATGATCGGCTGCCTCCTGCACGCCCCCTGCTGGGGCTCGAGCCCGAAACCCGGGCATGTGCCCTGACCAGGAATTGACCCTCGATCACCTGGATCCTAGGTCGATGCTCAACCGCTGAGCCAAGCCTGGCCGGGCTGGACTCATATTCTTGAACACAGCATTGGTGCCCTGAGTTGACTAATATAATAATAGTTTTGTCTAGAAATTGTAAGTTCTAATTTTTGAAACATCAGCAAGTCTGGTTTGCTATAACCGTATCTAGATTTGTACATCAAAGCACCCTGCAGGGGAGAGGCTCCGCATCAGTAAGGTGTAATGGCTACCACAAATAAGACAGGCGAGGCAGCTCCTTGTGCAAAGCTATCTTGGGCTGGTCCTGGAAGAACCATTTCTTTTCATTTCTTTCTTTCTTTCTTTTTTTTTTTTTTTTTTTTAAAAAAGCTTTATTATATCCAAAGAAATCCAAAACACTAATTTGAAAGGATATGTGCACCCCTATGTTCATTACAGCGTTATTTACAATAGCCAAGAGATGGAAGCAACCCAAGCACCTGTCAATAAATAAGTGGATAAGAAAGCTGTGGTACATAAATACAATGGAATATTACTTGATCATAAAAAGAATGAAACCTTACCTTTTGCGACGGCATGGATGAACCTAGAGGGTACTATGCTAAGTGAAACAGTCAGGTAGAGAAAGACAAATACCATATGATTTCACTTATATGTGGAATCTAAAGAGTAAAATCAACAAACAAACAAAATAGAAACAAATTCATAGATACAGAAGAGGCTGATGATTGCCAGAGGGGAGGGAGAGAGGGGGATGGGTGGAAAAAGGTTAAGAAATACAAATTGAGCCCAGCCAGTGTGGCTCAGCAGTTGAGTGTTGAACTAGGATCCAGGAGATTTCAGTTCAATTCCCAGTCAGGGCACATGCCCAGGTTGGGGGCTCGATTCCCAGTGGGGGGCGTGCAGGAGGCAGCCAGTCAATGACTCTCACCATTGATGTTTCTCTCTCTCTCTCCGTCTCCCTTCCTCTCTCTGAAATCAATAAAAATATATTTTAAAAAGAAAGAAATACAAATTGATAGTTACAGAATAGTTGCAGGGATGTAAAGTACAGCACAGGGAACATAGTCAATAATATTGTAGTAACTACATACAGTGCCAGGTGGGTACTGGAAATATTGGGGGGATCACTTTGTAAAGTATATGATTGTCTAACCAGTATGCTGTACACCTGAAACCACTACAAAATAATACTGAATGTAAACTGTAATTAAAAAATAAAATTAAAAATATTTAAAAAAATAAAGATAGGGAAACTTGAGCTTAAACAATTTTATTGAGGTATAACTTATATACTATAAACTCACCCGTTGCAATGGTACAATGAGTTTTAGTCAACTTATATATTTATGTAAACATTATGAATTAATTCAGTTTCCCAGTGCTTCCATTCACCCCAAAATCTCCCTTTGTCCATTTGCAGTCACTCCCTGCTTTCACCTGCAGCCCCAAGCAGTTTTGCCTTGTCTAGAAACTTCCTATTAATGGAATCAGTCCCTGTGTAGTCTTTGTGTCCAGCTACTTCCACTTAGTAAATGTTTCTCAGGCTGTTGTGTGCATCGGCAGTTCATTCCTTTCTCTAGCCGAGTAGCGGTCCACTGGGTGGATCCTTTTACTGTCTTGATTGCCCTCTCTCTTTTTTCAATCCTCACCCAAAGATATGTTTTATTATTGATTTGAGAGAGAGAGAGAGATACATCGATTGGCTGCCTCCCGCATGCACCCTGACTGGGAATCCAACACATAACCTTTTGGTGTACAGGATGGCGTTCTGACCAGCTGAGCCACCCCGCCAGGGTTGGTTTGCTCTCCTTACTCTCTGAAACACAATGTTTTCCCCTTGGATGGTTGGAACTTTCCTATGACTAGAAACCGCAAACCTAGACGACTTCTTGCAGTCTCTGCACTGGCAGTTGAGAGGAAACCTGCCCATCTTTCCCACTGTGTACAAGACGAGAGGATANGCACTGGCAGTTGAGAGGAAACCTGCCCATCTTTCCCACTGTGTACAAGAGAGGNTTCTTGCAGTCTCTGCACTGGCAGTTGAGAGGAAACCTGCCCATCTTTCCCACTGTGTACAAGACGAGAGGATAATTCCTGCCCATAATTCCCACTGTGTAGGCTGAGGGACAAGACGAGAGGATAATTTTCTTAGTGTTGGTTCAACAATCAGCTCTTGTTCTTAGATTTCAACCGATACCTATTTTTCAATGAAAAAAAAAATCATTGCATGTCTTTTTAAAAAGATATAATTGTTTATGCGGGGTTGTGTTTGTTTGTTTTTTGAAAGATGCCAGTGTAATTTATCAAATAATCACAATTTTATATGTATTTTACCAGAAGATCAGTGTAGAAGTATGTGACCTATTACAAGCATACCAGCCTGTAGCACACATATTTTGCAGCTACCTGAATTCTTGGGTTCACAGTGGGCTGAGCACCTAAACCTGGTGAAAATGTGGTATTCTGTGAATGTGCTCCACACATCTATTTCGGAGTGCATATTCTCTAGCTCAGATATCTCTGTGCATGTATTGCTTTGGAAATACTTCCTCAGCTCCCGAGGCATTCTCCAAACACTTCCCAACATAGCCAACATTCCGGGGTCTTTGCAGATGAGCCTCAGCTCCTCTCCCACCATCCATTTCCGGCTGCACAGCTGAGTGGCCCAAAGAGGAAAGAGCATCTAGTGGTTGGAGAATTTAATTCAGTGAGCCCTGGAGTTCTTTATTTTTAACACTATGATTAAACAATATTTCTGACAGCACAGGAAATTCGACACATGTTTGTTAAGTGCTTTTTGAAAAGGGCCCAATGCCAGGGTATAAAACAATGATTTAGATGCCTCATTCATTAACAAGAAATGTCTGCAACGACTGTGTGCTGGGTGCAGGATACACAGCTGAGTAATTCTCATCCTCGAGGAACATCCGACCTAAAAGGGACATGAACGGTGATATCCTTTAGGTGGTTTGTGTCTGCTGATGAGCTTTGGAAACCTCCATGTTCTTCCTTTGGTCTCAGAAAAATCACTTTGGCTTTATTTTGGAGGTAGAAATCCCCTGCTTCATCAGGCTACAAGTTTCCATCCAATCAGAAGAGCACGTGCTAGTTGGATCCAACTGTTTTCTAAGCGAGTGTCGAAATCGGTCTTCAGCTTATGAGGTTTTTCATTTTAACCTTGATGATAAGAAACTTCTGTGCCCGTCATAGAGGGGACACGGGATGTTCTGAAAGAGCCTGACCGAAAGCCAGAACAACCTGGGTGGATTCTGGCTTTGCTGCTAAGTAGCTGGGTGACCTTTAACATTACTTTGATTTCCCCAGGACTCAGTTATTCCATTTGGAAAAGGAAGACCCTCGTGTTAATAAGTTCTTAGGGTCCTTTCAGTGAGAAAATTCCATGAGGCCTTTTTCACTGGAGACACAAATCCCTGGCCAGCCCTTGTCTAACAGTTACTATTAAGTTACCCTCCTAAAACTTTGACTTTTCCATGCTTCAGGTGTTATACAGTTTTTCTTTTCATGGGTTTGTAATAAAACAAAGAAACACATCATTGATACATATTATGTTTTAAACATTGGTTTTGACTGTGCAATGAGAAAATGAACTTTCATATTTTTAACAGACATATAAATATACATATATTTAATATATATTGTACCATGAAAATGAGAAATCAAGTCATTAAGGAAGGCAAATTAGAAGTAAGACTTTTGGGTTTTAGTGTCATTTCTTTCACTCTCTTCCAGCCTCCAATTCCAACACTGATAAACCAGGAAGGTGGTGACAGAGGTCACATGATGTCCTGTTGCTGTTAAGTGAAGAAAGGATAAGATCACTATCTTCCTAATGTAAAAAGTAGTATTTGCTCATCCTTTATATTGTAATGATTAATTTCTTAGATATTTACAAAAGCTGTGGTAAAGTTTTTATGAAGAATAGAAGATGACAAAACATCAAAAACATAAAAATAAAAGATTTACTGTTTATCCTGTTTTCTGAAGCAATTAGGCATAAGGAACTCTGGTACATTTTGATAAAATGTGGATAAAATTCAAATATCAGATCTTAGAAAGATCTATAAATCTTTATTCTTATTAAATAAATATCTGTTTGTCAATTTAAAAAAGGTAAGTCAAGAAAATTGACCTGAAGGTATAGATATAAAGCTTAAGTATAAAGTTCAGTCAAATCTCCAATCAGTTAGCCACTGGAAAATAGGATGCTTATGTAATCATAAAACAGCCCTTCCTGTCATCATGCCTCAGCTGAAAATGGAAAGTAAAATGCCTGGATGTGTAAGGTCTTTGGACAAAGGCCAGTGTTCTAGCGAGGCAAGAGTTACTGAGAGAGACAAAGACCAGGAAGGGTCTGATAGCATATGGGTGTGTTAGATTAAAGATAGAATCCAGTGATCAGTTAGCAGAGTTTTGCAAATCTGGATGTAAGCAATATAAAAGTAAGTTTGAAACAAATGTTGAAATTAGATCCTGCTGCAAAGGACAGAAAATCCAAAGAAACAGCGGCTTAAACATGATTTGTTTTTTCTGAACAGCCGTATGATAGGTGCCTCAATCAACAGGAACCCAGGCTCCTGCTACCTTGTTGCTTGCCATCCTGAACACAAAACTTCACCTTACAGGCCAAGACAGCTCCTCAAGCCCTCTCTAGACAGCAAGAAGAAAGAAGGGGGAACAAGTCCCCTCCATTTAAGAACACTTCCCAGATGTGGCAAATACCACCTCCACTACATCTTATGGCCTAGAATTTAGTCACACAGTCACAACAAGATGCATGGGAGGTTGGTTGGGGCTCTTGATTCCGAGTGTTTTGTGCTCAGTTAAAACTTGGGGCTCTATTATTGTAGATGAATGCATTTGTGTAGTAAGGAATTTAACCTTGCCCAAGGAGTAGTCCGGACTTTGCCTTTAGCTTCTGATAGGTTGCCATGCTTGATAGGTGTCATTGTTTAGATTGGAGGCTGGCCATGGCAGAGTCTATGTGACTTAGAGTGATCTGTGGTATTAGTTCAGCTACAAGAGGGGCTTAAGACTGAGATCAGCCATCTTGGGAAATGAACATTATGACAAGATGGAGCCCCAATAAAAATCTGGGCTCCAAGGTTGGGGGAGCTTTCCTGGTTAGCAGGAGAGTAATGCTGTCCATGATTCCACAATGAGGTCAATGGAAGCTCCACGCTGGAAACTTTCCTGGACTCTGCCCTATGTTATTTCTTTCCTTGGCTGATTTTAATCTGTATCCTTCTGCTGCAATAAATGATAACTCTGGGCGCAACAGTCTTGAATGAGTTTTGTGAGACTTTCCAGCAAATTATTGAAACTGAGGGTGGTTTGGGGAATCCCCTGAACTTGTAATTGGTCTCAGAAGTGAGAGTGGTTTTGTGTAGACTGTGCTCACTCTAACTCATAGCATCCCAACTATTTCCTGACAATAACACAGTGGGACAAAAGGACAACGCTGCTTGTGGCCAGAGGCTCTATGTGCTACAGGACTTATCTGCCTGCCCCCAAGACGAAGATACCAATAGCTGAACTAACACAATTTATTCATGACATCCCAGCATGCTGCGATAAAAGATATTCTGCTACAGAAGAGAGGAGAGAACAGCAAACTGCCCCCAGAGCAAACTTGTCCTTTTGGCCACCCAGATATCCCCACGCCTTTCTTCCCACCTGTAGTACAGAGTCATACCTCTCCCAAGAGCAACACCTGCAAGGTCCCATGCAGGCACATCCTCCAGCTCAAAAACCAGCATCTTGGGCAGTGTACAGTGCACTTCATCGGTCCAGAGGGGCTCCTCCAAGTCTGGGAACCCATGAACTAAAAGAAAAGGTATCTGCTTGGCCAGGCATGGCTCAGTGATTGAGCATTGATCTGTGATCCAGGAAATCTAGGTTCGATTCCTGGTCAGGGCACATGCCCAGGTTGTGGGCTCGATCCCTAGCAGGGGGCATGCAGGAGGCAACCAATCAGTGACTCTCTCATTATTGATGCTTCTATCTCTCTCTCCTCCTCTCCCTTCCTCTCTCTGAAATCAATAAAGATATTTAAAAAAAAAAAAAAAAAATTTAAAAAAGAAACAGTGTCTACCTTAAAATGAGCAATATACCACACAGTAGGAAAAGAGCAGCTAAAATGAAAACTCCCATTTGGAAAAGAAGGTTCATGGGAAAGACCCCGCAGTCCTTGGCCTGTCGCAGGGATCGAATCCTATGGGAACAGCGAGGGCCCCTTCTTGGCAACAGAGTCGATTTCGTGGTCAGCCCATCGGAGTCCTTCGGCTCTGGAACAGTCTCTTGCTCACTATCCTCCCTGCGCCGCCCTGCAGGAGGACCACCTTGCCCACCGTCTTTGAAAGCCACATCAGAAGTGACCACCAGAGGGTTTACCCTTCTTGGAAACTGAACAGGTGCACGGGCCTAGCCGTTGCTTTATGGGTTGTTCAGTCACCTGTGCTAGAAGGCCAGCTTGTGGTTTCTTTAACATCATGATTACTGCCCTCACCAGATTTAGCAAATTGAAAAACAGGAAACACCGAATTCCCAGTCAAACCTGAATTTCAGATAAATGATGAATAACACTTGAGAATTAAAATATTTGAGACATACTTATCCTAAAAAATAATTTGTTGTTTCTCTGAAATCCAAATTTAATTGGGCGGCCTGTGTTTTAGTTGGCAGTCCTATTCCACTTTCAAGAACCAGAGCCCAGACAGTTGTGTGTTTTTTTCCTGACGTCACCCGTCATTTAGCTGCTGGTCTCTGTGCTCCCCCAGCCCCTCCTCTTCAATTTAATGGTCACTACCTTCCAGCCTTATGAAATGAAGGGTTCGACTAGGAAGGTAACACCCTAACATGACGTTTGCCTCTGGACTGTCTGGCAGAGAAATTGAAATACAAAGTTCTTTGTAAACCTTTGAGATGTCAGTAATACCATCTGCTCAGGCTGCCTTTGCTTGGGGTAGGAAAGCAATGGGTTATTTGATCCAGCAAGACCACAAATTACCAGTTTATCAGTCAAATTATATTGTAGGCTCCAGGCAGAGAGGGCTTCCTTGGCAGAGCAATGTTCCCCATTCTGTTTACAGACTGCTGGCTTCTCCCCAAGTTCACTTCTGTCTTGGACTTTGTAGGAAGCGGCAGGAAGCAGCTGAACTTGCCCCAGATTCTGAAATTTTCCAACCATTTTTTCCTAATGCTCAGCCTTGGTCAACAGGTAGTATGCCTTCTATTTTTTTTTTAATACATCTTTATTGATTTTGGAGAGAGGAAGGGAGAGGGAGAGAGAGAGGTAGAAACATCAATAATGACAGAGTCATTGATCAGCTGCCTCCTGCATGCCCCCCACTGGGGATCAGGCCTGCAGCCCAGGCATGTGCCCTGACTGGGAATCGAACTGCGGTCTCCTGGATCCTAGGTGGATGCTCAACTGCTGAACCAGGCAGGCTGGGCCAACACACCCAAATTTTAACCAGTAGTGTGGGGGAAGGGGAAAGAAAGGACTTGCCACTCCCTTTAAGGATACGTCCCAGAAGTTGCACACTTGGCTTCCCATGGGCCAAACTTAGTCACATGGCCACACCTGGCTGCAAGGTTGACTTAAAAGCATAGGAGTTACTCTGGGCAGCCACACGCTCAGCTAAAGCACTGGGGTTTCTACTAAGGCAGAGGAAGGGGGGATATCCACTGGGGGACATCTAGCATTCCCTCCAGAGTTCCTGACTAAACCCCTAAAATTATGTGCACACTTCCAGAGAATGACTTTAATTCACAAGCAAGTGAATTAACTACTAGTCTCATGCAGACCTTCGGAGTAATGCAGCAAGCATCTTCCACGTGGCACCCCAACCAATGTTTTTAAAAAAACAAATAACCAGAGACATTTATATAAATAACTTCCAGGGAAGAAGAGCACAGAATGGAAGCTTAATGGTTCCAGATATAAGCACAGGAGTTTTTTCTCCAGAAGCTTAGAGCATACAGAGTGATTGAATTATCAGTGAAGGGCACTTTGAGCTCTTACTGGACGGGGGTGTGGCAGCTACGGGAGGTGCAGCTCGCACTGGAAGTGAGGCTGCAGGTATGGGGAGCCAGGAAGGGGGCACTCTTCCCTGTGCTGTGTTTCATGAAGGCCGCATGGGCACACCTGGTGGGAACAGGGGTTTGGGTGACACATGGGGCCCTCAGCCCTCATCCACAGGTAGGACCCTTCTCACTGTCCCAGCGCAATAACCAAGTCATACCAGGACGAGCTCCTAAAATGTTCTCTATCGGCCCACTTCTTTCCACCCTGTATTATCACCACGATCATTGTCCAGTTAGTACTGTCTCTTGCTGTGATTACTACAAACACTTCCTAACGGAGATGTTTAGTGAGAGGTTACTCTGCAATATACACTGCATACTGCAGCCAGAAGGATCTGTCTCAAACGCAAAGCTGATCACCTCACGTCATAGGTTGAACTGTAACCTCCGAAAAGGATGTTAGAGTCCTAACCCCCAGCACTTCAGAATGTGACCTTATTTGGAGATAAGGTCTTTACAGAGGTAATCAAGGTAAAATGAGGTCACACTCTACTGGAATTACTTGTTCCGCCATCTCTCTTCCTTTCTAGGCTATAAGCTACATGAAGGGAAGGCTATGACTGTTTTGTTCCCAATGCGTCCTCAGCATTTAGCGTAATATATCATTGGAACCCGGCAAATAGATGTAAAAGAACTGATCAAATGAATGATATATTTTCTTTAAAAAATTTTTCCCGCCCGACCGGGCGTGGCTCAGCGGTTGAGCGTCGACCTAGGATCCAGGTGATCAGGGTTCAATTCCCGCTCAGGGCACATGCCCGGGTTGTGGGCTAGGCAGCCGATCAATGACTCTCTCATCATTGATGTTTCTCTCTCTCTCTCTCTCTCTCCTTTCCTCTCTCTGAAATCAATAAAATATATTTTTAAAAAATAAATTTTTCCCAATTACAGTTGACATTCAATATTATTAGTTTCATGAGTAACATATTTTTCCTGTATATTGTATAGTATCTGTATTTCCATTTTCATCCCCAACTTTTACTATTTTAAAACTTTCCAACATATTGAGAAGCTGAAAAGTTGTACAGTGAACAGATACCACTACTGCATAGATCTGCTATATTTGCTTTCTCTCATATCTGTCCATCTGCCAGTTTCTCCTATTTGACTGAGTTTTGAATTATAGATGTCCTCGAAGTACCTAGCCAACACACCTGTTTGGTTTAGCAGATAGTCCTGGGACAGCCAACTGTGAATATGCCTAAAAGTCAGACCCCTGGCCCTTTATGCTAATGCAATGATCATGTGGATTTAGAACTTTAAAACTGGAATTTTAAAAGTGGAGCTCTGGAGAGTTATCCAGGATTCCCCTTACTTCAGATTCTTACCAATTTTCACTGTAGGTATATATTTAGCAGAAATTATCTAAAACAGTGATTTTCAACCTTTTTCAGCTCATAGCACACATAAACCAATTACTCAAATTTGGAGACACACCAAAAAATATGTTTTTTGATGATCTGACAAAAAAAAGGTAAATTTTTATTCACTCACACTGTTGGCTGTTGTGTTGGCTGTTGTCATTTTTTTAATTTGACAATCTAAGGGAAAAGAGGTCAGTGTCTCTGACTAAATGGTCAGGTGTTGTGTGTTTTAAAAATTCTTGTGGCACAGCAGTTGAACATCGCTGGTCTAATACATTTTGCCCTCAGCTTAAGATTAATAAAGAAACCGCCAAGAAAAGCTCCGTGATAATGGGGGAGAGAAATTAATGGGGCCATAGCTGAAATGGAACAAAGGACATCTCACCTGGACAAGGAGCCAGTGGCCGGCAGCGTGTCCCACGCGTGGTCAGGGTCAGAGAGGGTGGACGAAGATGTGGAACTTCCCTACACAACTGTGGTAGCACCTGCCATCTCCTTGACACCCGGCCCTCCTCGAGTATCAGGACAACCCAGTAGTCCCTGAAGGAAACAGAAGCCCAGGCTAATGAGCTGTTGGGAGTGATTGAAAAAAAGAGATTTGATGCAGTCAAAACGGATACAGCTCAGGCAGCTGGCCAAGGGCTGGCAGATAAGGAGACTGGGGCTGCTCTCAGCCCGTCCTCTGCTGCCCCTCCTTGCTGCAGGGCCAGCGGACGCGGCGGCTGGAGCAGGGCCCTGACATGTTCCTGGGCACTCACGCGCAGTGGCAGGACACCAAGGTAATGTCAGGGATTTTCGCCAAGGTGACGTCTTTCACAAAGGCTCTGCCTATTCTTTTCAGAATTATCAACTTTACCCCATGGTACACAGTTTTGGGGCTTATTTTGCATAAGTTCTGGCTACACTTATACAAATTTTCCCTTAGTGGATTTACACTTTAGAACTTTGAGGAACTGCAGTGCACAAACAGCCAGGGCACAAGGGTCCATAGTTGATATGCTGTAGGCGGTCTCTCCACGGTGAACCACACTCTACACCGTGGCAGGTAAAGGAAAAGTAAACAACACAACCAGGAAAACAGGTGCGTGGCACCAAATGTTATCTCTACACAGTTTGAATAATCAGGGGCCTCTGAGAATGACATTAATGTAGGAGACAGATTATATGGTATTGCCATTTTAATACCCAGTTTATAATGCAGTATTGACTTCTTTATTTGAGAGATATTTTAAGTGTCTCTCCTATGAATGGTAAGGATCTTCTGTAAGAAAGTTCAGAAATAACTTAATCTTGTATATAACTTAAAACAACTCTGTCTTGACATGACAAAAATCACTATATCTGTTTGCTTAAAATCGTTTAAATTGGTTTTTGGTTTCTGGTTCTTGTAGCTGAAAGAATCCCAACTCTGTTCTTACGGATTCCTTTTCACTCTTTAAAAAAAAAAT